AACAATACTTATTATACTATATGTATTTTGTTGATATTTAATTTCATTTTTACTAATAATTTTTATTATTTGTATTTTATTATTATTTTAGTTAAAGGTTACATCTGCATCACAGTCTGTGATATTCCCAGGGGACTTTTCTTCTGTGGGTTGGCCCTTTGAACCCAGCTGTTCTTTGGTATTGAAAACATTCTGCATTCCCCAGTAAAATTATGCATGATGCCCAGTAATTACATGGCATGTTTATGTCTTAATTATGGGCATTGGAGGTTTTGTTTATCAGTTAAAGCAAATGTTGCCTGTTTTGTGTGTTTGTCTTTTTGTTTTCATATTAAGGTTTTGAAATAAATATATCGAGTCCACGCATCAATTTTAATAATGCTAATTCCTGCTCTTTAGATTTCCAGCGACTGACATTGCTAGTTGAGATCATCTACATATCTGGTTGCTCAGGCCATAAAGCAAAAGCAGTTTCTGCTCCTGTTCAAAATTCTAGGGAAAAGGTGCTGCAAGGAGGCTCCTGTGTGGATGCAGTGAGGGGGGGTACTAGGTGGAAAGGGACTTCAGGCAGGCAAAACCACATTTGTTTGGCTTGTGTTGTGCTTATGTTTCAGAGACATTTATTTTTGTGCTATATTGTGATACAATGTCTAGAAGAAAATCTGTCATTACAGCTGTGTATAGAACTCTAAGCCTGAGGACTGTGTGCAGATGTGTGAAGCAGCATGATGCACCATGGGGGTGCAAAGGTTAGAGCCCACAGAAAAGAAAACAAAGGCAAAATATTTTGTGCAAAGGGTTTTTTTGGTGGGTGGGTTGGGCGTATGTGTGACAGAAGTTATTGCTTAAGATTCTCCTGTGAGTTGAGATGTTGTGGTTGCTTCTCAATGCTGTTGTGCTCTCTTCAGAGAGATGAAGTGCAATCCATTAGCCAGTTGCCTGGGTCAGCCCGAGTGATGCTCAGAGCCAGAGCAGAGCAAGAGGCAGCTAAAGGAAAGAAACCAGACAAATGGATTAGTTAGTTTAAAATGTGCTTTGCTACCCAGCAAGACTTAAAATCGTTAACCATGCATATGAATATTTATGTGAGTCAGAATGCAACCAGCTGATCTACCGCTTTCCTCTTTAGAATGAGAGCCTGAACTCTTCACAGCAGTATTTTAGGAATTTGTTATTTCTACCCCGTTCCTCTAACCAGCCTGAGTTTTATTGTCTTGATTTAATAAAACATCTACTTGTTAGCAACATAAGTTACATTTAGAAGTTGGGAAAAACTGCCTCTTTAAGAATCAGAAAGTTTAATGGGCTTAAATTTAAGCTGGTCACTACAAATAATATCAGTTCAAGAACCCAGTCTTGTACTGAAGAGAGATTTTAGGAGGTGGTTTACTGTCACAGAAAGAGAGATTTTGCAATTATTTTATTTTTAATTATTTTAATTCCTTATTACATACAGAGTTGTTTTCTTGGTATGCTGTGGTGGGACAGGTAAATATAACTTTCCTCCCAAAGGAGTTTCATGAACATGTCATAATCTGAAATTTTGTGGCGTTATTTCTCTTTTTTGTCTTCCTCCCAGAATTTGTATTGAAGGCTGAATTCCATTTTCAATTGTATCCTTGTATGATCTTGGTAAAACTGAATTCTTAGGAAATTTACGAACACACACTTATTTTGCTTTATATTCCAGTGGAATAGTTACAGGAGCTTGTTTCTGTGCTGTCAGTTTTGAAGAGGTGCCTGATGAGTGTTTGCAGAGTGTAACACAAGATAGGAGATGAGGTATTGGTGGTATAGGATGTCTGAAAATAAGGACAGGCATTTCAGTGTGGACTGAATAATACAACAAACAACCTGAAAAGGTTGTACCTATCATCGTTAGGAGGAGCAGCCTTGGAAGGAGTTGTTTTGCTGTTTTGTTGACTGGAGGAAAGGATGGTTTGAGAATTTTAGCAAGAGACCTCTCGGAATATTTTGTTTTAACTTTGCTCAAGGGACAGAACTCTGTATTTGTAAATTTAGAAAACTCAGTCAGGGAGATCAAGAACCCTCGTTACAGACATTAAATAATTCAAATGAGAACTGTTAATTCTAAAAGTTGAATACTACTTTCTTTTAAATAATCTGATTGGAAGGACATGATAAGACATTTCCCTGATGCACAAAAATGTGTATAGATGTTTGAACATATATTTCTTTGGATATAACTTTTCAAATGTAAATTAATATTGAATGTGTGGAAAATAAATCTTTTTATTAGTGTTTAGCAAGCTTGTAGTGAAAATGTTCTTCAGTAAAGATAGTCCACTTACAGTAAGAAACCTAATCAATTATTCTTAATGATGTGAGTACTTTGTAAACATAAACCGTTAAAATAAAAGCACGCAGACATTCTTTAAGGACACATTCAAAAGAGATTTTGCCATAACTTTTCTATTCTATTCTTTGTTAGTATTAACAGTAATGCAAGTTGAATGTGAACTTGAATGAAGAATTCTGTCTTTGATTTGTGTATGGTTCTTTAGTGGAACATTTTGTGTTTTATTTGTATACTCTTCAGGATAAATCACCATGAAATACCTGAACTTGGAAATTATGATTAAATTTATTTATTTATTTTCCCAGAAGCTGTAGAGCCAGCACTCCTTCTCTCAATTTAGACCATTCAGTGTATGAGCTAGTACTTTGCAGAATGTGGATGCTAGGAGTTTTCAGTTAGAGTCCGGAGCTTGTTGTAACTAAAGTGAAGAAGATATGTGCCGTAGTGAAGAATGGATCATGTAAAAAGCCTAGAGAGCTATAGTCAGGAAATAGGTTTTGAAAATGAATCTTGAATGACAGATTGTTAAAAGAAAGGAAGTTAGAGTTCCACACTGACAGAAAATACAAAATATTTCTTTACTCCAAGTGATGGAGGATAAAGGTTGTGTGCTTTAGCAGGGAGTTTTTCAGCTATGATCCTCACTCATAATTTCTAACCACAAGAGGGAAATTAATTTCATGGCTCCGTAACTTCTATTATTTTGAGTTCAAAGCAGAGCTTCTCTGAACATTGTTCCAGAATATCAAAAGTATATTTTCTGTGGATGTAAATGAAGACATTCAAAACTGTATATATTTAATGTTGTCTAGAAATGATAAGCAATTATTAATTTATTACCAAAGCTACAGTGGGTAATATATCACAGAAGTATTATTTGAATCATAGAATACTTCATGTCAGAAGGAATCAGCTGGTTCACTTCCCTTTTCAAAGTGGGGCCAACCTCAAGGACAAGATATAATAAATAAATGCATAACTTGAAGAATTTTTTTTTTAATTCTTCCTAAAAAATAAGAAACCCTGACACACAAACCTGAAGGTGGTTAAGTCCTGAGAATTAGCTGGTATTATAGAATAAAATGGAGAATCTTATATGGTCAGGGAGTTCAGTGATGCTGTTTTTTGGGGGGCAAGAGTCTGTTGTGCAACTTAGCAGTAGTGAAGACAAAGTAAAAAGAGAGATAGTTCAGTATATTAATATTTGCAGTGCAAAAAAATTGATGGTGCTGAAGGAGGGAACAAAACCAGAGGCTATCTACAGTCTGAGGGAAGAGAGGTTCAGAATGTGTGTGAAACAAGTAGATTTGAAACTACTTCTCATATGGGTGTGCTTACTGAGGTTGAGATCGAAGCAGCTTTTTTAATATAAAAATGAAAAAGTGTTTTTTCCTAAATGTTTGCTGACAAATTGCCTAAGGTCTTTTTTTTCGTTCATTTTTGCCATTGCAAAACTGTTCTGTTCTACAAATTATTGCAGAAATATTAATTTCTAGACCAGACAAATGCATTAATGGAGTAGGAAATTTAGCCTCTTTTAACTGGCAGCTTCTGTATTTTTCTGTAGTTCTTTAAATGAAGGATGAGGAGGGGTGGGTCATAGTCAAGCTGAAAGCCTTTTATGGACACATATGCGTGAAATTATTAATGTATCTGCCTGCCACAGTGATGCATGCATTGCAAATTAAGCCGCACAGGTGAAAGAGTCTGCTTTGGGTTTTGTCCCAGTTCCCCCAAGCAGGTTGTCTAACAAATGTGCTCAAATGGTGTCTAGTTCAACCCCTTCTAGGTAAAAAGCCATCTTGTTTATATGAATATTTCACCTGAGTGTTTGAAGCTACATTCCCAGCGCTGAGAAAAATATCTCCATGACCTCCTTAAGATACATGCATTTACCAAGGGGATAAGAACTGTTTCTAAAATATCTTTTACCTTTTCAGTGTAAATGAAGCTGAATCTATTGCTGGGGAAGTGCAAATACTGAACAAATTATTGAACCACTGCTTCACTTCCTCCTTTGGATTACCAGAAAAACACGGCGTGCTGTAGCAATGTAGCTATTCAACCTACACTTTATCAATGGTTTCAGCTGATGGTGTTGGGTTGCGTGCATGCGTTTTTTGCACAAGCGAGAGGGGATGGAGGGGTAGGTGCTAAATCGAACTACATCTTTGACTGGTTACAATTTGTTGTTCTCAGAACATGTCTGGCCAGGAAGTCATGTAGTACTGTTTTAATTTTCCTGAAAGGATGAATTCAACTTTTTGAGCAGGGATATGTCCAATGTAACTAGGTGGATCTTATTATTTGTCATGAAACATTTCTCTTTGTACAAAAGTACCAGCTTTCATGAGAAGCTGTGATGATACATTAATCTTTCACTCAAAATGTTGTTGAAAAACCCTGCAAAATGAACCAACAGTAATTAAGTGCTAACATTAATTTCTTACAGAACTTTTTTCAACTTAACAGAATGAATTTTTTTCAAATTTCTGGTGTAATTTGCATGAATGTGATGGTTTATTTGTAGAGCTGTCTTCCATTGTACAGTCAGTAGCCAAACTGAAGAAAAATAGAGAAAGAGAAACTCTGTACACTCATAATCACAAAAAGAGTACAACTTCTTCTTAGGTGGAGTCCAAATGACATAACTTTTTTCAACTTTTATTTTGTTTTCCAGAATGACAAATCCCCAGGGCGTTCCACAAGTCGTTCAAGCAACATTTCAAAGGTATGTGAAATCTGTTTCCTTTGTATAGAATTTAAAGAAAACAGAGTTTAACAAATGCAACACAGTACTTTACTCCTTTTAACCATATATCATATTCTGATGTTTTCTTTATAGACTTTAAGTTTTTGTTGCCTACCATTATGGCTGCCATGTAAACTGTGTCTTAAAGTATAAATATACAATTAGTCATTACAGTAATATGTGTAGTAATTAAATAACAGTCGCCCTTTTTTCACCTGCTTTCCACAACTACCTAATGTTACATTAACGCTTTGGCTTAAGATGGAATTACTGCCCTACCCAAATAATAACAGCTGTAATGTGTAAAGCTATGAATGTGTGATCATTTCGGACTGAATTCTGAATTCTTTTTGCAGGCATTTATGGTTCACTGAAGCCAGGACTTTATATCTAGATGCTTTTTTGTTTCTAGGAAATGGAGACGGGAAACTTTAGGAAGGGGCAAAATGTGATTTGTGCTGGAGTTCTTTGTTTTTAACCCCCCTCTTTTCTGTATTTTTGGTTCAGATGTGGCTGAAATCTATGCACAAAAGCCAGGATATACAGGAGGTAAAAAATAAAATGCAGTAATTGTTTGAATCCCAGCCTAAACCTCTGCCATGTGTTATGTTCGTATCTAAAGATTAAGTATTTTGCATCCAGTGCAAGCACAGTACACTTAAGCCTCTTCCCCACAATATTATTGTCTATGGGGTACACACTGTAAAACTTTTCTTCTCAGAGCCATAAAAAACTCGAGACCTGTGATTTTTTAATTAAAAAGCCTAGTTGTATATTAGGTTCTACTCTTTTACATTAAGAAGGAAAAAAAAAAAAAGGGAAAAACGTGTAGAACATATCAGCCTGTTGTAGGATATGTCTGAATCTCTTCTTGACTTGCTGCCTATTTTTAAAAAGTACATAGTTAAATACTTACAAGCTTCATCACAGTGAATTATATGTATTATTTTCACTAAGAGTTTTAAACATATGTCTATAGTTATAATTACTCTAAATATGTTGATTTGATATTTTTTTCTTCTTTTTTTAAGTCAGTTGTGTGGGTTACACTGTGACAAAGCATAAATAATACGTTCACTGATAGGAGAAACATAGCAGTGACTAACATTTATTTTGAAGTAATTTCTGCGGAAATCTGTATGGATACTTATTACAAAGGGATACTTGCACCTTTTTAAGTAGCGAATTGAAAAGCAAGGTTTTCAGGCATGCACTTAATCTTTTTCTGATGTATAGCATCATTCATTCTTTTGGATCAATTTTTCTATGTGAAGCAACCTGCCAGTGAAGCTTTTCAAATGCTGAAAGACACGTGATTTAGAAATCCAGTTTCCAGCTGTCTGATTCAAAATGCTTTTTTTGTAAAACAGGAGGTTATATACATCAAAAACACCTGACTTCTCAGGTTAATATCACATGGCACAAAGTAATAGTAACAAATATTGCATCTCAAGACAAGATTGGAAGTTTCTAGTTGATGTAAACTACATACCAAAGGCAAGAATTGAGTTCTGTGCAGTGTTGGATCTTGTACACAATGAAAATTTCAGTTGACATAAAAATTAAGAAATATATATATAAAAAAATATAAATTACAATAATCAAAACATTGTCTTTTACTGTTTCATTTGCCTGTATGAATAAGCTAAAAAAGGGTGAAATAGAGAATTACATTTTAATCATTACTGTATGCCACCCTTGGTTGTATACGGAGCTCCTGCCCCAGAGCAGACTAGATGTTCCCTGATATCACTGGATTTTGTACCACCCCATTTGTGAAATGGAATATAGCAAAGATTCTGCAAATAGAGATTCATATTTCATAATGCTCTTAAGTTGTGTATTCAGAGAGAACACCTGAGGTTTTCAGTATATGCTTGGGCAATTTTGCATACTAGGTACATTGTCTCTGAATTACATGGTATTACAGATTAAACTGAATTGTTGAACACTGCATATGTCTTATCTAGACATAATGAGAAGGAATCGCTTTGATTTGTTTGTTATTTACCTGATACTAATTAGCATGTACCTATTCAATCTGTTTTAAAATCAAGCATTCCCTAGAAGCATGGATGGGAAATCAGCACCTCAATTTTACCATTCACTTTTGCTGTCCATTGAGAGCATAGAAATTTAGCATGTTGCAAAGACTTTTCTTATCTTGCATATAAGTTTCTGGTAAGGATTTCATTAATAAACTATTTTAGGCAAATGAAAGGATGAAACTTAAAATATTTGGATATGATTTCAACACAATTATTTGTATAGTCTACTGTAATACATGTTAATAAGCAAAAACAGTGGCTGGCCAATATGTTTCTCTAAATGTACTATCATAAAATCAAGGCAACTGGAATATTTACAAATTATTTTCATGTAACTATAAAATTATGTAGCTGTCCTTGTGAAAGTTCGTGGGGTTTTTTTGTTTGGTTGGGGTTTTTTTTACGTGTATAATGGAGTATTTCGTCAATATGGCAGGATTAAGGCGAAATCCTGCATTTTCATTCTGTTAACCTGATTCAGTGCTGAATCAATATTTGTGGGCAAGAGTACACGAACAGTGAAAACTAAGTGTAATTTGGCTATAGCTCCCACTGCCCCTTATCCCCATAAGACACTGTGCTTTACCCCTCCTGCCCTTGGACCTCCTGTGCCATGCCTGCACCATTTTGGTTGGTGGGTAGGAGGGAGAGAGAGCATTTGCTGAAACTAATTTGCTGATTCATCTCTGTTGTTTTTCAGCTTGTTACGGTGACCTTAAATGCCCCATTTGTGGGGTAATCACTGAGTTAATTGCAGGTTTTTTGAAAGTAATATCGCATAATTTTGTACTGTCGCTCTTCCATACTCTGCCCAATTCTGTCTGCCTGTTTCCTGGTACTCCTGACTGACAGTCAGCTGTGGCTTTCTCCAGTGAATATCCACCTGGGACATTGGTTCATTTGCTTCAGTCTATACATCAGTAAAACTGCCTTGGAACTCCAAGAGCAATTACTTCAGTTGGTTTTCCAAGCAGAGACAATTAGGAAAATCATTTCTGCTGCACTTCTGGTAATAACCTAGGTTTTTCCTGTAGAATCAATAAATTAATAAACAGGTCTTCTTACCTTCTGCCCTGCTAGCATTGTGAGTAAAAAAACATATCTGGGACCTATCTGTATTTCATATTATGTCATGGTGACAAAGTAGAGCCCTAGTTACTAACTATGGCTTTCAAAACCTCTCTATTGTAAAACATATACAGAAAAACATGGAAGTATTGAAAACGTGAGTTATGAACCAGCCTTGCTGTTTTAAATTTTTTTAATATTTTTTTTAATCCTTAGACTTTCCCTGACACTCATTTCCCATGGTGCTGGTAGCAGAGGCAACTTTATTATTCTTTGTAAGAGATAGTCTTGTGTAGTGTTCTGGATTTCAGAGTTAGAGTTGTCTTATCTAGGTGCATTTAAAATCTAAGTAAATTAAAAGCTTGACCTTGTTCATTACCTATTTGCCACTGCTTAGTTCTATGCACTGTGTCTCTTCCTGAATATGCGTATAATTTAAGAGGAAAGCTAGTCTGAGAAGGATCTGGTGGATTAATCTCTTTCTGTTGTGGTTAACTAGTGGAACAAATCTTGTGTCTGAATTACAGTTTGTAAGGTTATGCTTATATGTGTTTCTGAGGCTGCGTGGTTATGTAAAAATGCTTTCTGGAAGAAATGTTTCTAACACATTGTAATTATCTTTCTGCATGTTAATTATAATTCAAGAGCTCCTTAGAGAAGGATGCTCTCTCAGCAGTAAGATTTTAAATTCTCTGATGGGAACTTTGGGCTTATTTTTCAGTGCAGAGAAACTCAAGCTTGGAGCAAATTGCCTGATTTTTGTTTTGGCTCAATTGCTTCTCAAAAGCCTGGAGCAGGTGTTAGAACACTTTTTATTTACAAGTCTCTGAAGCATCTATCTAATAAAACTCTGTTGAGTTACATCAGGAAGAAGTGAGGTGATTGTTTTGCAATATTCTGTGTGATAATATTCATTGGTCTAATTTAGAATATGAAAAACAACAGAGAAACGAAAGAAGAAAAGAACTGATTTTGCTATATGTATATGCAATTTCTATATTGATTTCTTATGTCAGGTTGGGTTCCCCTCAGTAAGATACAAACAAGAACTAAAAGGCACCAGCCTGTCAAGGTAGTGCCCACTGAAGTTTTAGATGAAAACTTTATTGTTGCCAATTTATTGATTGTTGATTTGAGCTACTTTGTGATTTTGAAATAGATTTCACAAGCTGAGTATCAATATGTGTGATATGTAACATTATATTTTATCCGTGTGAATTACAAATTTTCATTTAATCTCCTCCATTAAAATTGGATGTTCTTTCACATGCATTTTGATATTCTCTAACTTTTCATCCTCTCTCAATATGAGGTGAATGCATGAAGTGTCCTCTATCACACTTTGGGTTATTCACCCAACTTGAAGCAGAACTCGCACACTATGCATTTTTTTTTAGTGGGTAAACATACCACCATGTCTTTGGCAGTGATACCAGCAGAGAATGCATAGTATCTTCTGTCTGAATTACTGTAAGCACAAATTATAGGTTTTATGATGGAAAAGGCATAAAGGAACTTAACTGTTCTTTTCAAAGAAGTTCGTGTCATGAACTCTGATAGCCTGAAAGAGGATTGCAGCACCTCCAAGATACCTGTTGCATGACTGAATCCTAAAAAGCAACTGTGTGACCCGTTGCATTTTGCTATAGGGGACTGCACTGCTACAAGTTGATTGACATTTATTATTCTTACTGTTCTTTGCCAATTTCACGCTAATCATAAATGACAATTCTATTCTAGATGGGTGATTGTTTGGGTTTTTTTCAAGAAATCATGTAGCTCCAGCTTTTCCAAGCACAGCTTCTAGATTACCGTAGTGAGCAACTAAGAGAAAACTTAGAGCTTTCAAAGAAGAATATAAAC